AAGAAATGGGGGACGCAGGAGCAGTAGGCAATTAATGCAAGCTCTTCCAGCTAATCCGCACCACTGGTCCCAGGAAACCCGGCGTCAGTGAAACAATCAGAGACAGTGCGGGTGCGCTGATACACAATAAGGAGCGCCGTATGGCCCGTTGGCCGGAACACTTTCAAGATCAGTTCAGCTGGCCCCCTGCTCCCGAACCTCTTCCTTCTCAGGTGATGCAGGACGACCCATGGACGGTTAGTTTAGAGCCTCCGTCGGAGGCCGAGGTCCGAAACGCGATCACAATCCTCAATCGTTTTCGTGCCGCCGGCCCGGCTCCCCTCCCACCTGCACTATTTAAGGATGGAGGTGATGTCCTCTGCAAAGCACTGACCTCCCTATTCGAACGTATCTGGAAGGAAGATAGTGTCCCGGCTAATTGGAACGAATCGATTATAGTGGCAATATACAAGAAGGGCAGTCGCACAGACTGTTCTAACCACAGGAGTATTAGTCTAACGCCAGTTGTGACAAAATCATTGGCCTCGATTATCGTTCGTCGCCTCACTGAAGAACGGGAATCTAGGATTAGGGAAGAGCAAGCAGGTTCCCCGCCCAGGACTTGGTTGTATAGATCATACATTCACTCTGCGGTAGGTGCTAGAGCAGCGCCACGCATACCGCAGACCGACAATAACTGTGTTCCTCGATTTCAAGAGTGCGTTCGATTCACTCGATCAATGCATTCTGTTCAAAATACTTGCGTGAAAAGGTGTTCCCAAGAAATACGTGAACATCCTGCGTGCTCTATACTCTAACACTACAGGTCGCGTCAGAGTCTACGGTGACCTGTCGGATAGCTTTCCGACTACAAGTGGCGTTCGTCAGGGTTGTCCGGTTTCCCTATTTTTGTTCAATTTCGTCGTGGATTCTATCATGGAGTGTTCGCTTGCGGAAACTCACGATGTAAGCGTTAAGTGCTTCCTAGTGAAAGATTAGTTGATCTTGATTTTGTGGACGATATCGTCTTGTTTTTCGACGATGTTGCGACGGCACAATCAACCCTGAATAACCTGTCTAGAGTGGTCCCATTATTTGGTATGCGCCTTGCACCTTCAAAGTGCAAAGTGTTGCTGCAGGACCACCAGCCACTTTATGAGCCCTTGACCCTTGCTAACGAGGAACTCGAGGTGGTCCATCAATTCACCTATCTTGGCAGCTGCATCAGCAAACTTTTCCTGTTCCCCAAACTTATAACCACGCTGAAAGGACGTCGTTTCTTAACCGTAAAGGAGATTCAGGACAATGCGATAGCAGACATGCGCGCCATCGCACGAAGTACGTTTAGGAGGCTTTCCAAAAATATAAACATCGTTGGGAACGGTGTACTACCAGTAGAGGAGAATACTTTGAGAAGGCGGTGCTCACAGTTGCACAATAATCAAGCAAGATGTTATGGTAAAAGTTCGGTTTCAACTTGAACGCACGTTGTACATGCAGATGCTAGTAGACGGCCAAACGGAGCGAAACACCTCACACAGTGTTTAGACACTAGACCGTGCGGACTGTGTAAACGGGCTTTAGGCGGGACCCGCGGAAAGCCGACTAAATATGGAATACAGACGAGGTGTGACTGGCTGGTAAACTCGAGTGGAGTTCGACTGAGTGGACAAGAACCGCGTCTTGAAGCGGAAAAACGGTCAAATATGGCAAATCAGTCACAAGGATCGCGTTCACATTGGAGGAGGCCAGGACGACGAAGATGCGGGGATAATTGTTTAAGTACTTAGATTATATGGTTGACCTATGGATAGAATTATGCTTTTCATAGAATACACACCGTCTACTGATGCTTGACTCTTGGTTTTCGCGGTCGGGTTGGACGTCAGGCATAGCAGACAGTGGGCAGCAGTACCACAGGCGAAACATATGCGTAACCCAAAAAGGAACAAAATGATCAATAAAAACCAGGGCAATCTGATAGATCGCTTCAGTTGTTTCTGTGTACACAACACCGGATGATATTTATAGATAATTAAGGCCTCGGTGATAGCCAATCTTTTTGGATTCCGGTCGTGCAACAATGTTATAATTGTGGTCGAATAGTCCACGTGATGGCGATACGAAACGAGACGCCTTGCGATGGACGATAAAGGGTCGCGATTCTGCAGTTGACACAACATAATGATGCAGATCAACTGCAGAATCGCAACCTCTGCGTTTTTTAAATGACAGAGAGGAGCCGCTAAAAGGGATGCGGGATGAATACCAGGACTTCCCAAGTCAAGTGATATAATCCGTATTTGCAAAGGCTAACTCTTCGGAGATCTAGTCACTGAAGCTTTACATACCCTGTTTTCTGCCAAATAAAGATTTCCGACATTTTCTCCAGTGGTTCTCTTTCGTACTAGCTAATTATTAGTTACGAAAACATTTTTGTCTCAGCGGTGGATTGCACCTGCCTTAGTATGTACACGAATGTGGCTATACTGTAAAATTTCGCAATCTTTTCTTTGGGACTCCTGGTGCATATGGGCTTAATGAATCTTGAGCCGGCCTAACATATATCAACCAAGCCCATTCTAGGCGCATATTAACAGCCACTGGACGGCATAAAATTTGTGGCTTCTTCTTGCGTTATACATGTAAAGCATGAAGTTCCCGTACATATTGATCTGATCTGGCAAGGAATCAGTTTCCAACATAGTAGAGAAATACGCCGTTAGTCATTATGTTGGAAAGGAGGAACGCTGCCATCCCACAGAAAGCGATGCCCGACTAAGCCCATCGCGAATGGCTATTTTGCAAAACGTAGATCAGGGTCTCTGCTGAATGACTGGCGTTCAACTTCCCCAGCGAGTTCAGCTGCGGGTCGTAACAAACTGCGTTCAAGTTTGTACTAGAGGAATGATAACTTGATTGCGGAATGAGTGATTAGATCATCAAGGAAAAACACGTTGCGCTCTAGTGTACATGGTAGTGTTGGAGGAAACGCCATTTAGGGAACTCAGGGGTGCATGACTACGGCGACCTCATCTTCACACCGAGTAACGCCTGACTGTAGAAATGCGGAGTTAGTATAAATCCACACTGCGCCTCATCGTAAGCATTGCGCTGAAGTCAAGCCACATATAGAGGATTGATGGAAGGGAACCGATAATCTCGGAGGTCATCATTGTTAGCAAAAGTAACACAGATGGTTGGTGCTTTTGACTTTAACTTCTACCAGATTGATCAACAGATACCTGGTCCTTCCGTTGAAGCGATGAAATTGCGGTGATATTCTTAGTTGTAAAAACGAGCTGTTCTTGAATTCATGAAGTGTGATTGCAAATTGGGCGAAAGAATGCTATGTCGATTCATAGCTGCCGTAACCGGGAAGCCCTGACGCCGGAAGGCCAACCGCTGTCATATGCATAGCAGGTGCGTGCATGGCAGTGGAGGATGGGTCGGGCTATATCGCATTTAGCTAACAATTCGTGATGGTCGGATACCGTCCTCCATGGCGCAGTTGCATAAGCTGCGGGCTAGTTGGCAAGAGCCACTAGCAGTCATGGGTTCGATCCTCCGCAGAGGACCGAAGGATGCGCACCACTGATGAGCCCCAATAGGGAAAAACGGCCGCCTGGTGCTTTTCCGGATAGCTAGTTGACTTATCTGAATTGTCGGTTGATTGCGACGAACAAAATTACTCACCAAAATCCTTCCACCCATAAGTAATACAAACTCGCCCTTACGGATTCCACAAAATGCTATGTCGATTCATAGCTGCCGTAACCGGGAAGCCCTGACGCCGGAAGGCCAACCGCTGTCAGCTGCACGGCAGTTGCCTGCATGGCAGTGGAGGATGGGTCGGGCTATATCGCATTTAGCTAACAATTCGTGATGGTCGGATACCGTCCTCCATGGCGCAGTTGCATAAGCTGCGGGCTAGTTGGCAAGAGCCACTAGCAGTCGTGGGTTCGATCCTCCGCAGAGGACCGAAGGATGCGCACCACTGATGAGCCCCAATAGGGCGAAACGGCCGGCTGGTGCTTTTCCGGATAGCTAGTTGACTTATCTGAATTGTCGGCTGATTGCGACGAACAAGAAAGAGTTAGACTGCGGAAAACAACTACTCCCATGCCTATCGCCGGATGGCCCCCTGGTAGTGTTTTGGTTTGTATGCGGTTGTATAGCAGCGAGCCACCAGTACGACGTATTGATTCGTTGCTGTTTACCATGCTCCTACCGATGAAGACAGTCACAACAGACAATCTGATATGGATAGTGCAGAAGCTGGCCCAATTAAATGATGGTGACGATTTGGATAAACAAGCTTCAATGAAGCCCGAAGAGACAAAACGTCAAATTCAGTCAAAATGACAATACACCAGACAACCAACCTTGACAATTCGTAAGTGGTATGGAGATTTATTTGGTATTTTGTGAAGATTCGTCGCAGTTAGACTCAGACAGACAGCCACTACACATCCAGGAGAACGCTAGTGGATTGTTTTGTCCTATTGGGACTAGTCAGCAGCGCGCACCCGCCGAATCCTGCCGGATTGAAAACCACAACATTGACAAATGTTGCTTGCTTTCTGAAATCCTGAGATAGCTGTTGGTCAACTAGCTTCAAGATGGTCTACTACGATGTTCCGGTTGATATATGGAATTGAAAATAGGCTTCGATGATTTCCGTAAGCTGGATCCACTAACGTTGATGCAATTATTCGCACAAAGAGCGGTGCATTCCCCGTATTGCCCTACGCTGAGAGTGGTAGCCACTTGGTAGAATAGAGGGACCATGGCCTAACAGTAATAGCCGGCAGTCACGAATATTGGTTCCACCTTATGTGGCAGCGTATTTACTCCAAGAACCGCCGTAATGACCCGGAAAAGCGGGGAAATGTAAGTGCAATTTGATAACAGTCTACACGGTTCACAGTCCAAGTGAACGCGCACTCCAGTTGAAAAAGTACAACTATCGAAAGAGTAGTGCGTCACAGACCGTACATCACGCACTTCTTTGATTATGTTGGCTCCATCCAGGAAACTGAAATGTTACCTGACACAAAGAGTGCGAGTGGTGCACTTTGGCAAGACGGGCAATGTGAAACAGGATGAAGGAAACAGACCACTGATTCGCGGGACTCAGAAACCACACCCCCAACAAAGCCCACACGAGCGCCGCACTCATGCAGTGGGACGATCCGGAGAACACACACAGTGCAACAATGAAAGGATACTTTAGTGAGAATCAACTGGAGCGAAAAAGGAGTACAACAATGGGATAATGCAAACTTGAAAGTGCTGATGGGGAGGGGGGAGGCGAACGTAAGGATGAAAGTATCATACGAACGACCGGGGAAGGTTGGTTTAATGCAGCGTATTGTTGGTTACCGGATACTACGGTGATGACCGAAGAAGGCAAATTAGGAAGCATGGCGGAGGAGACTAAACATATGGCGCGTATTGCTCGATATTGCAATATACTGATGCCCAACGTTGGAAGAAGCCGGGATAAGGACAGAACTGCGACTCGTTCACTATCAGTTCTTATTTCGACGAACCAATCTTGAGGCGTTGTCCAAATTGCTCTTGATGTGATCCCGAACTCGAACTCGGGCGTCCGGAGTGTCTAGGTCTAAACCCAAGCGAACCAGGCGAGGGTTTGCAACGACTTCTTTAGTTATAATTTGTTCCACTTTAACTCCAAGCACTGATTGGCGTTGGTTGGCCAAATGCAGATCAGTGATTCCACTTTTTTCGTGACTTACGGACTCCAACAGCTTGATGATATTTTGACCTAGTAAGAAAAATAAAAATTAAGAGATGCAATGAATCAGAAAACGAGAAGATAGTAACGTCGACATTAGTTGTTATTCCAGAGTATAGACAGTGAAGCTGTTTAGTCGAGCGGCCACAATCCGAGGGTAAGCTATACTAAGTCGATCGGGCAACTGGAGAATGTGATTAAGATTCGGAAGACAAACTGCAGACGTGCAGGAGAGCGGAGCCAGAGGCAATCAAACCCAGATTATCGACCGATTAAGTAGTGATAAAATGTTGGAACGCAGTAAGTTGAGTCACACTCGCCAACTGATGGCTTGGGATGGGAGGGACAGGATACTACGACTAGCAGAGTTCACCACGAAAAGGTTCTTCGGTGCCTTTGTATAGAGTATCACTTAAGAGCTGGCCTGCCTCCCGTTCATTAACATATGAAACACACAACACGAGGAACACTTCTTGTGAAGACACAATAGAGGTAGAAACAGGTTACTACGGTTGCATTAATCGATATTTTGGAAACAGGAGTGGTGATCAGGAGCCTGAAGTCGTCCTTCCAGGCCGTGCATAATATACCGCAGTGCACTATGAGCCGCGACGAGAAAGCTCGCCTCTCTTCACCATCTGAAAGTTCACAAGCGTTATGACCATCTGGTACTGACCTTGTGTGTCAGACAACAGAGCATCCGATGCCGCATTCCGTAGAAAGTACAAGACAAGCGCGTGGCTAATAACATCCGTCACTCCCCGTCGAACCTAAAACTCTAAATTTGGTAGTAGGACTGAAAATGCGCGGATACAACATACCAAAATCGCTACTTCGTATTGACCACTCATAGGCGGTGAGGTCAAGCGTGATAGGAGCTCGATAGATGGTGCATTCGGAGTGCACACAATACACGGACAGTCCTGCATCATGTGCTCGTTTCCAGGTCACTGACAGAAAAACGCATGTCGGTCGCCCCATGGAGCCGATGAGGCAGTGGCAGTGCTAGTGCTGTAAATTTTGACCTTAGAACAGCTGCGCGTTGGCCCATGAATGCTGCTATTTCATTGATATGAGTGGCCAGCTGCAAATGTAGGTTACCCGAATAGACAGTGTGGTGTGCGTCCGTGTATCGATGGGTTTCAGTGACAGACTCTGGGCCAAGGTCAAGTGACAAACTGGATATGATGGAACACTGATACGTCTATTTCCAACTAGGTTAAGAAATGGCTTGATGACAGAAGTCAGTGACTTACCATTTAAAAAGTTCGACTCCAAATTCAATACTTTCAAGGTAGTGTTAGTGCGTAGCATTTCATAGAATGGTTCGATCATCGCACTGGTTAGCATTGTAGACGCCATGTGGAGTTCGCGTAATTTTGTGTTCTTTGCAAGAGCTTCACACAATCGCTGTATCACCTCGGTGCTCATCGTCTTGATGTTATTCAAGTTGAGCGAGGTCAAATTAGGATCATCGGCCGCAATCTTCTTTATGCTGTCCTGCGTCAACACTTTATTGGAACATGCAACTTCAGTAAAATATTTGCCTCCACAATCCTGCAGAGTTGTAGAGAACATGGCATTTACGACACCTGACAGGACGGGGAGACACACGAGTGAACATGTCGATCTGGGATACTCAATGCTACCATGCAGTCTGACTGAAATTTGAGAACGAAAGACCTACGTAAAAACGATTAGCGGCCAACCGACGAACGGTCAGCTTAAAACTAAACACGAATTCGTTGTCCACCTACACACTTCTAACGTCGCAAATACTATCATGTTTCTATACTAAGGCCCAAGGTATCCGTAGTAAGTTGGCTGAACTTAGAGAACGCCAGGCGTCACAACCGCCGGATCTCATTATGATTACTGAGACCTGGTTAAGCCTTGTGATATCAGATTCTAAAGTTATTTCACCTGTTAAGTCACTATTTCGGAATGGCAGAGCTGGACGAGGTTGTGGTGTAATTCTGTATTCCAAGGCTAAGCTCCGATGTGAAGTTATTGACCACCCAGAGATCCGTGCGCCAGCTTCACTTTGGTGCCGGCTGTGGTTGTGAAACAAAGGCACATCTCTTATAGCTGTGATTCACCGTCCACCAAACTTTGCGTGTGAAATGGACTAAAAATTAAACCACGGTCTTCAGGTTGCTTTGAGCAAGACACACAGTCAAACTCTCATCGCAGGCGACTTTGATGTGCACGATCTGGAAATAGCGGCAATCGATAGCATGCAGTTCAGAGCCTGTTTACGCTTCGTAATTTCCAGCTATCCTCTGTATAACCACGTGACCACTCCCACCAGACTTCGAAGTGCTAACAAGCCGTCGATACTTGTTCTTGTGCTCACCAACGAAGAACCCATGGTAGACGGAATAATTACAAGCACACTACTGGGTCGCAGTGACCATGTGAATCTACTGCTAAACTACGTATGTTATGTGGAATATCCTGAGGAAGAGGACGATAAAATGTACACGGTCACGCACTACAACGTGTTATTCGCAATAGTTAAGGAGGTATCTTGGACCTTCTTAACGGAAAGCCTCCAGAAATCGCCTGGGACACTTTCACGCATACATTTACCACACTGGTAACGCATGCGTCTGAGCGGAAATCCTTTCATCGCCAAAGGAGAAGAAAGTCATTTCTGACGAGCAGAACACGCAAATGCATGTCCTTGAGGAAATTAGCATAGAGAGCTCACAGGGACTACCAGAATTCCGGAACCTGGACTGCCTATGTGGCACAACGTAACTGCTGTGTGAGTTTGGTCCACGAGGACATGGTGACACATCAGCAGGAGTTAATGAAGAGATTCGACACGATTCGCAAACTCTTATATAGGTATGTTAATGGCCTTCGTAAGGTACAACGCAGAATTCCAGCACTGAGCACGACTGACGGGTGCACGCGATTAGCAACGGAAGCAGCCGATCTCTTACGGTTCCATTACTCACAAACGTTCCAGAAAGTAACGTGCCCAACGGTCATCCCAGTTTCTATAGTCCCTGCCATCAGTCTTATCCAATATTACTTTCACTGCAGAATGTGTGTCGAAGAAACTGTTGTCTTTGCGTATACACAGCTCTCCTGGTGTAGATAACATTCGACGGAAGGTTTTACAGGCAGCAGCTAGTGAGCTGGCGGAACCTCTGGCTATGTTCTATAAGTGCTGCATGGAGGAGAACCATATTCCAACAATATGGAAGTGAGGATTCATCACTCCTATTCATAATGGAAGTAGTCACCCTGACCCAACTAATTACCGTCCGATAACGCTGCTCCCTTTACTTTCCAAGCTTATTGAGTCTATCGTCGCTGATGCACTCATGCAGTATCTGGAAAGTCACAAGGTGATAGTACCAGAGCAACATGGCTTTCGACAAAGGCGCTCATGCACTACGAACCTGTTAATTGCACGCAACAGCTGCACTGAAGGAGCTGATGGTGGAGCAGGAGTTGATTTCATTTACTTGGACTTCTCAAAAGCGTTTGATCGCTTACACCACAGAATTCTCTTCAATAAACTTCAGCTCTATGATGTTGGTGAGACATTGCTGCGTTGGATAGGCACTTTCCTACACGAACGTGTGTTGGGAGTGTGAGTACGAGAATCCCTGTCTGACGCAATTGAGGTCGCGTGCGGCGTACCACATGGCTCGGTGCTCCGGTCCTGTTTATTCTTGATGTTCGTAAACGACCTGGCGAGGGAAATTACTTCAATTTCCTATGCTTGGCAGACGATATCAAGTTATGGCGAGCGATCAAAGTATCGAACGACCACGAAAAGCTCCAGCGTGATCTCAACACGATTTTGAACTGGTCAGTTCAGAATACACTACCGTTCAATGTGGGAAAATCTCATGTTCTTCAAACGTGCCAAATGCATGAATACGTGTATAGGTTCGGGTCACATGTATTACAACCAACTTTCCAGGAACGCGACCTTGGTGTGCTCATTCAAATTGACCTCAACTGTTCAACGCAGTCAGAGGCGACTGCAGAGAACAAATCAGCAGTCGGCTTGCTGCGGACAGCATTCGAAAATTTCAACCTATCCATCTCCATGACACAAAATTCTTAAGGGTGCCTTCACGTTGAATACGCCATCCAAACTTGGCAACATTGGTTTAAGCGAGACTTAGAAGTACTCAAGGAAACCAAACGCAGAGCTACAAAGAACGTCAAGGGCCTAAGAATTTTGTCCTACCATCAAAGGCTGAAGTGATTCAGAATCTTCGGTGGGCGCCACAGAAGGCTGTGCGGCGATCTCATATTAGTCTATCAAATATTAAATGACTTTAATCATGTATTCCGTCACTTGCTGAAACTCACCCATAACACACATATCAGAGGTAACCCTCTGAAATTGTGTGAACAGTATAGCTGTCTGAAATGCCGGCGGAATTATTTTTCTTTTCGGGTTTGCCAACCCTGAACTCTCCCCCCAAATTCCTTGTTTCCTCCCTCATGGATATTTTTAAAAAAAGACAATTGGATCTTGTCCTTGGTCATCATCACTTAGTTGCATAAACTGTGCGAATTTGGAAGAAATTATTAATCCATCCAAACCGGATTAGCATGTTGCGTAAACCTGAGAATGCGGGACAGAAGTGAGTGTTTTAGTTTGAACTGCTTTCTTTTCTCACAGAGTACAACTATAAGGGTCTTTCTTTTGTTTCGTTGTTGTCATTCAATTCCCACTTACGCTACTGTTATTCAGCAGCGTATCCGCTAGCTAAAGTCTCGAATAGACAACTCAACCATATTTTGCTAATTGTACTTTTACCCCCATTACCCTGCGGGAATTGTCAAGCAACTGCTATTTTACCCGACATAAATAATTGTTCATTGTTCAATGTTTCGCACTGTACCAAGGGAGAGAATGTGAAATACACGCAGTTTTATGGCGGTAGTGCAATACGCAGATTTACGAAAATATGTGTACAGTTTGGTCCGCAGCAATTTGTGATCAGTGCCACCTGGAGCTACACGCAGTACACGTACACGTACACGTACACAAGCAGAACGGAAGCATTCCACCCTTATTGGGAAATCATACACACCAGACGTACACGAGGCGGTGGCTGGACCGTAGCCCGTTCCACACAGGATGGAACCACTCTTTGAGCCTCGCACCGTCACGAGAACGGTGCACTCCGTCCCCTACAGCAATGACCAACTGTCTCCTGGAGCCAGTATGGACGAGGTTGTGGGTAATAGACAGGTAGGCACCTTGTCAACATTCACATCAGGCGCATCCCCACCGGTGAGCTCAAGCAACATCTACTTTTGAAATGCAAGATTACTCATCAAGCAGGCAAACGTACCACATACGCCGCCTTATTGGCCTGGATTAGTTAATTGTATGGGAACATGCTCATGGTGCTTTTATTCCGCATAAAATAGTGCCTTCTCCGGCACCTGTGAAATCACCCTTTTGAGCAGTCCACGGAATTCGCATCGATCAAATTTGCCTTGGATTTGCAACACCTGAATTCAACATGAGTTGGTCATAAACTCACCTTCTTCATGTTCTGGTAATGTTATTTTCGGTTTGCTCGAATGTCGTTTTACTGCACTACGTTAACCGTACAAAAGCGGTATGAAGATCCTCGTGGAATTCATTCGGGATACATATATACAAAGCTTGGCGTCATCTGGGTCCAATGAGAGTTCGAATACAACATATGTACATGCGTTTATCCAAACTTAAGTGTGAGCTGTCACAAACTGGAGAGTGACACATCAGACATCATCAATGGTACGACAAACGTGTATGGGTTTCGTTTGGAGGTCAGGCTAACCCACTTTCGCAGGCATGAGAATAACTACCCAATACGAACTGTTGATGTTTTCTTCAACATTTAGACGTGACAGCCTTAAATCTTGGGCATCCATATTTGAAGGTACCCGATGTGGCAATAGTGAAGCAACTGCTAGGTAGAATGATGACTAGACTACTGATACAGTGAAATAGTGTGCACTTAGGTGTTGCCTTCTACACGTACACTCTGGTTTGAGTAATTGATGGGGGAGATCACATAGCATGCGAATGCGATACAGTGTCCAATTCTGGCTCTCGTGTCTCCCACCGTTTCGGTCATGTGCTGCCCGAGGTATGTGCATCTACTCGAAGAACGATTGATGCGCAACCTTTGGTATTGACAAGTGACATCAACTAAGTCCCGCTGTCCACTGTCAAACATGCGACTTTCCAAGCAGTGTTCGCATTTATTGTGCAAATGTCCAAGTACTCAACCGTTTTTACCTACCGACCTGTACTCTACTGTGGGCATAAGCTATTTGCTATAGGTCTATCTCGTACGTTTCGGGTGCAGCCATTCGGTGCTCATAAAACCATTGTCGCTATGCGCCGATGCATTTCTGATGTCATATAGTAACATATTGACATATCATTCCCGTTAGATGCAACCTTTTACTTAATCTATCCAAAAGATTGGTCATGTGCAATGCAACTTCTGGTAGACGTCTCTGCACG